CACCTGTCCACTGACACCATCAAATTCATTTCACATAACACACTGAATAGTCACTACATTCTAACCACTTTCAATCACAAAACAAGATCTGAACCAGCAACATAAAGGCGAAAAACTTTATAGCCCATTATTAATCCCCAGAGCCATCCAGTCCCCCTTAAGAATAAAAAAAAACTTGAATATTATGTAGTCTTCTCAGTAGCAAAAATGGTGATAAGGACCAGTTCGGTGGCATAGCAAAAGCATTATGCTAGCAAGAAATCAGCTTTCAAATTTGAGATTTCATCTTTTGCTTCCAATTTCAATGGCATTTTAAAAGTACCAGTGAAGGGGTACTTGCAATTCCCTGGGACTGAAAACAGATGACTAGCGCTGGACATAATGCTTGGTTCATGTGTTTGCCAACAACCAACAGGTATAGAAGAGGCCTCCCCTAGTTTCCAACTTTATTTTTTTAGTGAAATGGGATCCTGCTTCACAGTTCACCTACCAAGGAAAACAAGGAGGTAACACCTCCTTTTCTCCTGCCTTCCAAAAGGAATATTACAAGAGCACCTATTTGTCACATGGTTGGCAGTGCAGCCAAAAATGTGACCCTATGTATTTTGGCTCACAAGAAATCCCTCTTCCCCCTCCACATAATATTTAATTAATAAATAATAGAAAGGTATTTAAGAAAGGACACTTCTTACTCTACTTCTGTGCTGTGATGAGATAAATATAGTTCTCCTCAGAGACATACTCATGAGTAAATTTCCCATTTCATTTGGGTATGCATTGTTTATAATGTATATGTGGCCATTGCTGCATTCAGATCATCCTTCTCTTTCTGTGCAGCTGCATTAGCAAAATTTAGGCAGAATATATCCCACATTAAGGTGTCTTTCCCTTGCATTCAGATCAGTGCTGCATTCATCCATAATAATGTCAGGCTTCCTGCTGAAGGGCATGAGCTATCGTTTACAAAGCCGCTGTCCTTTGAAAAATTTCCCTTTGCTTTCACAAATATTATGCCGAGGAAAACAGGCAGAAACATTGGAAACCTATTGATGAGCATAACCACTGCACTTCAAGAGAAATCTCCTCGTCCTCCTAAAAGGCAATTCTATCAGCATACAACTCCTGCTGAAGCCATATAGTCAAATAAATGCTTGTACAAAGAACAACAGGGGGTAAGATGAGTAACTCAAAATCACAACAGCAACAGTGAGCTCGGTCCTGCAAGGTGCTGAGCATTCTGGTCCCAATTTAACAAAGCCCTTAAGCAAGTGCTTAATCTTTGCCAAGGGCACAGTCCTACTGAAGACAAGTTAAAACTAAGCACCTGCTTAAGTGCTTTGCTGGCTCAGGGACAGAGTGCTGAGCACATTGCATGATCAAGCCCACAGAGAGTACATGGTATTTCTGCCCGCTCCAAATAAAGTGTGCACAAGCTCCATGGAGGACAAACATACCCTTTTCCTGGGGGTTGAATTTATAGGTAACTCACAAACAACAAAACATAAACCCCAACCTTGAGCTTTCTCCCCCAACCCTACTTGTTCCAAGAGTTACCCACAGGACCTCCTTGTCTCTACCTTTAGTCCCCTCTGACTAAAAGGTCACGCCTTTTTATATCCTGATAGGGTATCCAGGGGGTTAACACATGTCACAGTAAATCAGCAGAACTTAGCAGCTTTATGCAAGGTTCTAATCCCTGTTAACAAGGTGGGTCACATCAAGATGCCTGCATTTCTACATAGAATTATAGATCCTACCACCCTATTACACACTATTTATTTTTCTGATGTGTGTGTGGGAAACACTGTGCCATTCTGCCCTCTCATAAACTTGCCCAACTAGCTGAAGTTAATATCCATAAACTAGTACCCGCAGTCAACCAGCCACTATTACACTAAAGAAACAACCTTTGCGGTCGTAATATTTAGCTGTATTACTTGGTGGGCAGATAATGGTTGTGTGTGTTCCACTTACCACACCACCCCAATTACGGAAGCCCCATTCACCATTCCAGTAATCACAGTATGGACATTCTTAACTTTAACAACATGTTCTGACAGGATCTTTTTTAATGCCTGGCATATTTGCACCAGTATTGTTCCAACTGTTTTCTTCTAATGCCAACAAGTGAGACAAGAAGCAGTATTCAATATGTGTAGTTAGCTTCAATAAAGGCTTCTACCGTAACATTGGGCCTCCAGAGAAATAAAATGGTGGCCTTCCTCCTTCTGATGTTTTTCAGCCATTCATTGCTTTCATTCTATAGCGCTACAGTACCTCATTCCACCAAGGAGTTAATTGGACTTTGGTCCAAACTCTGTGTTCCATCTGGTCATGAGTCTGGGTCACAAACAGGTCTACCCAGATATCTTGTTTCACATGTCAGAAAAGGGTTGTAGCTAGGGTTACCATACGTCCGGATTTTCCCGGACATGCCCCGCTTTTGGGGATTTCCCCCCGGGCGGGGGTGTGAACCCCCAAAAGCCAGACATGTCCGGGAAAATCCGGACGTATGGTAACCCTAGCTACAACCCTTTTCTGACATGTGAAACAAGATATCTGGGTAGACCTGTTTGTGACC